GGGGGGGGGGAAACACCACGCTTCCTCTTTCTCTGCCTTCACTGCCATTCCCTCCCCCCACTATTTTACCTCAGCCTTTTAGCCCCGTCCCCTAGCCATTTTCTTTCTATTTCTTTGACACGTTCTATTTCTCGACCACACCCACCTCCCCATGTGCACCCACCCACCCCAAGCAGCCTCCTACCTTCCCTTCTCACACCAGTTGCTCGTGAGCCCTGGACGGGTCAGTTCTGCCCCCCCAGTCCTGCCCCCCAGGCCATATGTTTGATGCGATGTATTCAATTCAGTGTAAACTGTATGTGAACTCACTCATTGGAACACCATGCAAAGCTTCGTCCTGGGCAAGGATCCTAATTCCTCAATTCCTATTGGTAGCCCAGGAAGAGCCGACCAATCACCTAACATCCAGTTCCCTGAGAGGGAACGTCTGTGATTGGACTTTATCTTTACAATCCTATTGGTTGTTAGCCCGGGAGAGTTTAAAAGGAGCTCAGCTGCAATGCACAAGATGTTCTGGTGGTTCTGTTCTGGTTGTGTTAAGTGTTGCTCATTAAAGCTGAATCACTGGCTGAAATCACTCTCTGACTCTTGTTAAGTAGCCGACTTAACATTTGACACTACTGCTCTATGCTTTCTTTTTCAGGATATGCTTTCCTTTCTCTATCAAGAGGGGCCTTTCACCCGAGGTATTTTCAGACGTTCAGCAAATGCAAAATCCTGCAGGGAGCTGAAGGAGAAACTTGACTCAGGAGCTGAAGTGCACTTACTCTGCGAGTCCGTATTTGTGACAGCTTCTGTGTTTAAGGTGGGCAGAGTTTTGGGGTTCTTCTTCATTCTGGCAAAAATCCTATCAGAGAGCTGACTTTTACTGAGCTAAGCCACAATTGTAGTCTGCCTAGCCAGGGCTTTAATCTGGGGCTTTTTAAATGTAAGGCATGCCTTGTGCTACAGAGATATTTCTGCAGTTCTGCCGTTCTTATTGAGAGCTGACTTTTCCAGATTTTCCATGTGCAAACCCCCATTGGAAGTCATGGGAAGAGCAGGTCTTCATTCTGTAATATGCTCTAAAGATCCAGGCTCTCTATGTAATCATATGTTGAGTACTTTCTGCAAGCAAAATGCATTACCTGCTGGGGTGACACAATTTGGGTTTGTGGGCAAGACACAGAGCAAGTTCCAAAGGCCTTCTTTTCAATATATTCAAAGATTAAATTGTCTAAAAGGCTTTTGGCACCTTAAAAGACTAGCACGGCTGTTGTGGCATGAGTCTTTGTGGGCCAGAGCACTCTTTGTCAAAGGCCTCGAGTGCTGATGATGCGGGAAACATGAGCTGCTTTGCAGAGACCGTGAAGTGGGCTAGTCAAAGTTGAGGTTGTAAGAACTTTGGCTTCAGATGTTCAAAGCGAAGGAACAGAGGCTGAGCAGAGGCTGACCTGTTTGCCACCTTTGTTTCCTGCCCTTCTTCCAGGGAGCTCAGGAGGACCTGCTTTATATTTATGTTGGAGTGGGAATTTGAACTCAGATCTTCATGTCCAGTGTGACACCACACTGACTGATAGCAGATAGTGCCCCCCCCATCAAGATAGTGCCCCTGCTTCATTTATCAAGTAGGAAACCGATAGTTGCTTTTTAAATGCATATATATAGGCAGAAATTTTTGAGATAAGACCACATTTTTTTTAATGCTGTGCTGATGGACAGAGTATATGAACTTTGAAAGTGACAAATATGCAGACTTGGGTTTCACTGTATTGTCCCTTTCCTCCCCCCCCCTTTCCCCCAGACAACTGATTGCTCATGTGTTTTGTTCTCCTTTTTCTCTCAATAAGGATTTTCTTCGTAATATCCCAGGCAGCATTTTCTCATCCCAGCTCTGTGAGCAGTGGGTCTCCTTAATGGATGAAGGAAACTGTGAAGAGAAGATAAAAAGAATCTGCAGGTAGAATTAATCATGTAATTCCTTCCGTTGTTTTAAAAAACACACAACACAACTATGCAGAAAGATGAGAACTGTGAAATTTCGGTCTTGCAAGCCCTGTTTCAGACAAACTCATGAACTTAGACTGGTGGGGACTGATTGGTTACCTAGTTAAGCCCTCCATTTGGGTCCTTGTCATAATCTGCTCATTACATGTTTTTTGTTACAGTGAATTTAGACTGCAGATCCCCATGTTTTTAGCAAAGATCATGGGAATATTTATTTGGAAACTTCCTTTTTACCGTGAAACGGGGCCTTCATTGTCCCAAAGTAAAGGGCTGCGCTGGTTGGGGGAGGGGAATCTTGGGGCTAATGTTGTGCAAACACAATGTCGTGTTTTAAAGAGTTGTATTTGTATATTTCTAGACTAATGGAACAGCTCCCCAGGGCCAATTTGGTTTTGTTGCGTTACCTCTTTGGAGTGTTACACAGCATAGAGAAACAGTCTGAAGACAACCAGATGACGGCATTTAACTTGGCAGTGTGTATTGCACCCAGCTTGCTCTGGCCTCCAGCTCCTGCAAGCCCTGGGACGGAGGGCGAATTCACAAAGAAGGTTAGTTCAG